GGGGGGGGGGGGGGAGCAGGAGGGGTTCGGGAGGCTCGTGCAGAGCCCCCCATGCAGCTTGGGGCAGCAGGGATTGCCCACCCACCTGGCAGCACCAGGTGAGTCAGGGCTTTTTTTTACAGCACCAGGAGCTGGGGCAGGCAGGGCAGCCATGAGGTGGGCTGGGGGAGCAGGCAGGGGATAGGGCCTGGCAGGGGCCCCCCATGGTCCCCTCCCCCAGCCCCCACTTACCATCTGCAGCTCCAGCTGCAGCTCCCTTTGCCAAAGATTCGGAGAGCTTCAAATTGAGTCAGACCTTTTAATTGGTCCCTGATTTGATTCGGATTTGGAAATTAGGCCACCGAATCGGGTCGAATCTCCTCCTAATCAAATCGCCACCAGAAGCTTTGCACAGCCCTAGTTGGTATGCTCACTCTAATTCTTTCTTTTCCATTTTATAAGAATTACATTATTTGAATTGGAAGGTGGTAAATTCATGATTGCACACCCCAAAAAGAAGTGTTCTGCAGACCAAAATATGTGGCCTCTTTTATGCAGCCCCCCAGAAGCTGTGCATGGTGCCAGAACAGAGGCCAATAAGTTAGTGATTTGTGGGGGACCTTGATTGCGTATTACGCAGAGTTGCAAATGAAATGAGTCCTTGCATATATTGCTATTACTCCCTGTCCTTGTAACCTGGATCCTTTTTCCTTGCCTCAGACCATGCACTCTATGTTAGTTGCTATATCTCCCGTCATCTGCCAGAGGTAGTTATAAGGCCTCTATATTCACTCATTATTGGAGAACTTTCACCAGCTAGTAGAAGTCTCTGTGTTCCTGTACCAATCAAACTAGAGGTCTTCCATAATGAAGCTACAAGGAGGGAGACTATATCGTTGAATCATGTGACCCCCTTTAACATTTTTCTTCCATCTGTTAGAGAGAGGAAATATCCTCGTGTTAAGACATGAACAGATTCACTAAGCATGCTCAATTTACCACCTAATGTTATTCTTATAAATTTTAGGCATACGCGTGTCAAGATTATAAGACTGCTTTTGAACAGAAAATACTGCCTTAAAATAAAAAAGTTATATCTATCTCAGCAAGTTTTGTAAAATTAAATTGATGCTGACTGAATACCTTAAGTTGTAATTTTTCAGGGTTTTTTCTCCTAAGATTCTAAAGTCTGGGCCTATTTTGAAACTTAGGACAGTAAACTACATGAAAGTTGAGTTTGACAGAAAAGTGTTTCAGCAGTTTTCTACTGGAAAATATTCAGCATCAATTAGGAATTTGAAAATTATGTTTTAGCAACAAATGGTGTTTTGAGGTAGTTTCCTGAAAACACTTTCAAAACTGTATCTTTTGCTAAAAATATAAAGATTCTTATGCTGTTTCTTCTATAACCATTTCCTAAATTGGCTGGCTTGTTTCAGTTTTCTCCTTTAATGCTTTCCCTTCTGCATTTTCAGTTTCTTCATATTTTTCTCAACCTAATCGACTGTTATTTTCCTCTTGAAATGCTAATATCCAAGTATTAATTGCTTTTCTTGCAGCTAATTACTTTATTTCCATGTCTAATGGTGCTAAGTTGGGTTTTCAGCCAGGAATTCGTTACTAATTAGTATTCACCATTCTCGGATATCTTTGCCCCACTCTCCTCCACATCAGCTGAGAAAGATGGTGCCAACCCTGTTTGTCTGTTTCTGTTTCTCTCTCCAATATGATATCTGTGCACCTCTTTATAATCTCATAATGTATTAGATAAATATCAGGACTCTTGTTTTTGCTCAGTGCCTAAGAACAAGTCAGCCAAGATACATTTTGATGACTACTCAAAATTCAAGTTAAATTAGATTAGTTACTCCTGTTCTAGTACATGAGAACTAGTTTTTCTTAAACGCATCCTGTGATTCCAGTTCATTTATTTTTCCTTGCTCAAAGGGATTTTCAGTCCAGTCCCAACCAGATTTCTTTAATGGTACTGACGGTTACATGTACAGAGTTTTTAAAATCTTACCCAAAATGTTATTTGGTACAGCAAGAGAATAGTCTTATATGAAATCCAAACTTGTTAAAACCTCTTTAATAATTCAGATTCATGTTCATATTGAAATTTTAATGTGTGAGAGGAATGGTTTCCTGTTTTCTATTAATTACAGATCCTATTGTACTGATCAAAAATATGACCATATTCATTTTTTTTTGGATTATATTAAGTTTAAGATGTGCTATTTCTCTCCTATAAAGTTTAGAAGAAATGGAAGAAAAATATCAAAACAGGGAATCAAGACCAGAAGATTTGCAGCTTATTGCAGAATTGAAAGATCTGATTGCAGAGAGGGATCAACTCATAAAAAAACTGATTGTAAGGTTTTTGTTTGCTTTCGTTTTTTTGTTTTTACATATTTTAAGTTTTGAAGGATATAAACATGTCTGGGGAAAAGTGTTCAAAACGGACTTAATATGCACATGCTAATATCCCACTGACTATAATGGAGCTGTCACAGTTAATAAAGTTAAACATATACATGAACTTTTGCAGGATTGGGCATGATACTGTAAACTGAGGAACTGGGACCTACAATTTTCAACTGCTTTTCAAAACAAGTATGGAAACGCCCATGCACTAATCATTAGGCTTCGGGGCAAACAAGAGAGGGTCCTCCTTCCCCCACGTTTGCTGAGCAGCAGTTTTGGAACTTTTGCTCGGGTTCATGTGTACAGAATCAGGTACCTGCTTTACCAGAGCGCAGCTTCCTGCACATGCTCAGTAGCTGTGCAAATGCATAAGCATGTACAGGCATACCTCGGAGATATTATGGGTTCAGTTCCAGACCACCGCAATAAAGCGAGTCACACGAATTTTTTGGTTTCCCAGTGCATATAAAAGTTATGTTTACACTATACTGTAGTCTATTAAGTGTGCAATAGCATTATGTCTAAAAAAAATGTACGTACCTTAATTAAAAAATACTTTATTGCTAAAAAATGCTAACCATCATCTGAGCCTTCAGCGAGTCGTAATCTTTTTGCTGGTGGAGGGTCTTGCCTCAATGTTGATGGCTGCTGACTGATCAGGGTGGTGGTTGCTGAAGGTTGGGGTGGCTGTGGCAAATTTCTTAAAATAAGACAACAATGAAGGTTGCCACAAACCTTCAATTTGTAAAAAACGCAGTATCTGCGAAGCACAATAAAGCGAAGCGCAATAAAACGAGGTATGCCTGTATAGTAAAATCACTTACTGTAAGTGTCCCAAATGGCAGCTACGTGGCTTGGATAAGTGCAATTTGAACATATACAATGAAATAAGATTCTGTCCAGAGTCTCCACATCTCTTAAATTAAATCCACAGCAGCTTGACAGGATATTCTGATGTTCCTGATTCAGAAACAAAAATTGAAGACTGAGGTTCAGAATGGTTATCTGGTTATAATTTAGACAGTACAAAAACTAGAAATTAAGTATTCTGAGTCCTTGCCTATGTATAATCCACCAGACTATGTTTCTTAAGGGTGAAATATAAACAACAGAATCCTATAAATGTAAGCTATTTGGTATTCCTTTAATTGCCTGTGGTATGCTATAAACATACATTTTAAATAAAAATTGAAAGGAATTCATAGAAATATAGGTTACTTCTAAAATATTTAGAGCTAATTATGTTTGAAACAGTTTTTTATACATGTATGGTTTTTAGCTAATTGCAAATGCACGAAGAGAGGTTCTAATTTCTTGCTCTTCTTTGTTAGGAGGACAAAAAATTCTATCAACTGGAACTGGTTAACAGAGAGACTAACTTCAACAAGGTCTTTAATGCAAGCCCTAACGTTGGTGTTATTAATCCACTGGTGAAGGTATGTAACACAAGCTTTATAGCTAAAATGAAAAATAAGTCTAAATTAATGTGTGGTAGAAAAATGTCTAGAGACCAAACTTTGGATGGCAGTGTTGAAGTGATATTGTAGTCTTGATGGCCCAGAAAATACTTGAGATGGAAGTTTTTTGTGTGATACCTGTTATCCCAGCCATGCAGTTGTTCCAGTAGATTTAGGCAAGCTTTCAGGTATCATGGTTCTCTTCCTCAGGTCTTTGGGAGAGAAGCAGGCACAGCAGAGCTAAATAGATAAATAAATAAGAAATAAATAGGAACAGGATAGATGATCAAGTAGCTAACTGACAAGAGAGCTGTAGTAAAAACCTGATGAGTGGAAAGCAGCATCATTTCAGTAGGTTGTTATCAAGCATGAAATGAAGAGATTAGCAAGGATCAAGTAGATTATAATGGACCATGAAGTCACATCAGTGGTTCTTAGTGTCCAGGAAACTAAAGCATTTTTGCTTCCAGGCTCATCTTTTGAAGGTGTTTTGTAAATTTTTCTTGAACATGAGAACTGTGAGGTCAGACAAGAAGTGATTATTCTGTGAAAAATGTTCTTCTGCTTGTGTTCTGGTGTCTCTGGCCTTTATCATTTTTGAGCAATCACTCTATCTGGTACATAGTTTTTGTCTAGTTTCGCTCACATAGATCTTTATAATAGTTAGTGTCAGAGAATTGTCTGTTTGGCCTCATTGGGGGCTTCCAGGCAAGTGCACACATGCATCTTGCAGCATCTCAAGCTCCTTCGAGGTGCTGCAAGATGCATGTTTAGGAACAAAAAGAGTGTTCCCCACACTGCATATTTGCAGCGCAGGGGCAAAATTAGACCCCTGAATATCCAGGGGTCAAAAAAAAAAAAATGCCGCAGAACAGCAGAGCAAGGCATGGTCCCAGAGGCAACCCTGGAGTTGGTCCTAAAGGAGTGATGCTCTGGTTTCTGGCCAGAGCATTTATGTGGTGCTCCTGCTGCCTCCAGCACTGTCAAAGGTAAGTTAGAGGCATGGCGTCGGCTGTTTATGGGTGTGGGTGGGCGTTGGTGGGTGTGAGGAGTGGCAGGGGGGTGGGAGCCCTGC